GGTTGGGGGAAAGGGAGTGTAATTGAAATGGAGGACAGCGTCCAGCTCTGAAAGTTGTTGAACTCATCATTGAGTCCTGAAGCCTGTAAAATGCATAATTGGGAAATGAAGTGCTGTTCCTCTTGCTTGTGTTGATCTTCACTAGAGAACTGCATCAGAACTAGGACAAACATGTTTCCATGAGATTAAGATGGTATATTGAAATGACAAGTGACTGGAAGGTCAGGGTTATTCTTATGGAGAGAATGGAGGTATACTGCGAAGTGGTCACCCAGGCTCCGTTTGGTCTCACAACTGTGGAGGAAACTGATTATGAAAAGTGAATCCATCAGACAAGATTTAAAGTGCGAGCAAATCACTGCTTCACTTAGAAAGTATGTTTGATGCTTTGGAGAGTGAGGACAGATGAGGTAAATGACAAGTGTTATACCTTCTGTGAGGCCATGCTCCCATGCTCTCCCCATATTCCTCAACATATTAAACCTCTAGAAATCTATCTATTTCTGTTTCAACCCATTCAGTGACTTGACCTCCATGGTCCTCTGTGGTAGAGAATTTTACAAGTTCGCCACCCCCTGATTGAAGGAATGCTCCACATCTCTGTCCAAAATAGCTTATCTTAAGACTGTGACTCCATGTTCTGTGTTCAAGGGAAACATAATCCCTGTATTTAGTTTTTCCAGCCCTATCAGAATTGCATATGTTTCAATGAGATCTTCTCTCCTTCTAAATTCCAGTGAATGCAGGCCCAAACTCTCCATTTACGATAAACCTACCATCCGAGCAATCAACCTGGTGAACCTTTGCTGCACTTATTCTAATGGCAGTATATCTTTTTTTAGGTAAGGAGGCCAAAACTGCATACAATACTCTAGGTTTAGTCTCACCTTGGCCCTGTACAACTGCAGTGAGATTTCCTTGCTCCTGTCCTTGGACCTGTTGCAACAAAATGTAATGAAGGCCAACAGATCATTTGCTGTTCTAACAGCTTGTTTCAGTGACTGGTGTATAATGGTGTCCTTTTCCATGTTAGCATTTTCCAACCTATTACCGTTTGAATAATACTTGGTTATTTTGTTTCTTCTGCTGAAAGTGGATAACTTCACATTTATCAATGTTATACTGCATCTGCCATGTATTTGTCAACTTATTCAGCAACTTACCTATAGCATCTTAACATTCTTCTCACTATTCACAATCCAACCTAGTTTTGTGACATCAATAAACTTGGAAATATTACATTTGATTCCCTCATCTAAATTGTTGACATATATTGTGAATAGCTGGGGCCCAAGCACTGATCGAACGAGTCATCACCTTCCACTCTGTAGAGGTGCCCAAACAATCACTTGTCACTTTGCCATTGTCTCTCTCTCTCTCTCCACAAGCCTGCCTGTTCCACTTATTCTTTTCTAATCTTTCATTCTACCTATTTTTTGTTGTTTGCTTGTTGTTGTGGTCAGTTTAAACTAACTAAAAGTGAGGCAGTTCAGTCAGAATTATTTCAAACCTGTGAAATATCTAACAGCTGTTGGTGCAAGGTTAAACAAAATGTCAGTTGTTAACAGGAAAGTAGAATGTGATGCATTATATTTGAAATACAAGTAATTGCTTGGCTAAATGCCTTGTCTAAATGTACAAAGTGGAACCAGAGAATATGTTAAGACACGTGCACCTTTATATTTTATACACAGCTTGTTTCTGCTGTGTTCTGTATATTAATTGAATTTGGTGCGGTAAGTGCACAAGATTGTAGTGAACACAGGGATTAAATTAAAAGTCTCCCCTAGATCAAAGCCAGACTCAGTTCTCGAGGACCAGCCCATGTACTGTAGTGAGTCAGACTCCAAATTGGTCCTGGTCAATGTATAAACAGATGTCTCTGTTCAAACATTTAAATTTCTATGCTATGTATCCAGAAGCATGTTTTAAAATGTACTACATCTAAACATAATTTTAAAGTGTTACCAGAAATAGTCACCATCCTAACATCATAGCTTACAGTTTTGTCCAAAACCTACCACAGAAAATGCATATTACACTCCTTAGCACGTTTGTAATTCAAGGCTTATTTGAAATTGATTATGTAATGTTTTCCTCAGATCCCTATGCTGTGCAAAGCGGCACTGTTCACATTCTACAATAGCCAGAACACAAAAAATAATTAAATCTAATTATTAAGTTTTACAGACCAGGAAGGTTACTGGTCATATCCCCAGGGGCACCGAGTTAGCTAATAATAGCAGGGGCAGCAGTATAGCAACCACAGAATTGTTATAGTGCAGAAGAAGGTCATTCAGCCCGTTTTGTCTGCACTGACTCACCAAATGAGTGTTTCAAATGATGCCATGTCCCACCTTTTCTTCATAACTGTGCACGTTCTTCCTTTCCAGGTAACAGTCCAGCTACCTTGTGCATGTTTCACTCAAAACCTTTTCCACTACCCACTCAGGCAATGATTTCCCACTGTTAATTGTGTCAATCACAACTGAAGTCACATGTAGGCCAGACTACACAAGGAGTAAAGAAAGATTAAGAACAAATTTGTAGCGTCTTTCACAACCCTGGCATGTCCCAAAGCACTTCACAATAGAATGCTTTCAGAAAGAAGTGACTGCAGCAATGTCAGGAAATACAGCAGTTAACTTGTGCAGACCATAGTTCCACCAACAGTAATGTGATTAATGATTAATTAACTGTTTTAGTGATAATAATTAATGGGCAAGGTAGCTCAGGACACCGGGGATCTCTGTACTCTTCCTTTTAATACCACAATGCAAACTTTTGCTTCAATTGGAAAGGGAAGACTGCTCAACTGAAAATATAGGGGTGCCATTACTGATCTCAGTGACCCTATTGCAGAAACAAGAAAAGCTACAGCAACACCTCTGGAACTGCGTGTGTTTATGAATGTCACACAAACAGAAAACCAGGCTTGGCTATGAAAATCTGCACAGGAACAACTTCCTGAGATCAATTTGCCAAAAGAGAACTTCAACTACTCCTGCGGAACATTGAGGAATTAAAATAAAATCACCACCCATTTACTGAAGGGCATTAAGGGTTTCATTCTTTGCTAGTTGAACTACCTAACTTAATTAGTGGAAGCATGTTTTGATTTGGTGGCTTGTCTTATGGTCAGTATTATATTACGACTTGTCATTGCAGAACCACTTTTCTCACCACACTGTGGTAGTCACAGTTGACGCCAAATCAGCCACGGCAACCATGTCTAGGTGGAATGAGCCCAAAATTATTTCACATCTGCACATCTTAGTAGTTTTTAAGATTTCTAACAAGAATTATGCATGAGACATAATTCAAGTGCAATTTGAATTTATAACATCATAAAAGATAAAAACATTAGAATTTTTCTAACAGATTATGTGTATTTAAAAGATGTGGGAGTTTAGGAATGCAATGCTCATGATTCTTGCCAACACATTTTAAGATGTCAAGTGCTTCCATCATTTGTAATGAAATGTCTGCAGATCTGTGTATGCATCAACCCACATGTAGTCCACATGAAGCGTTGAAATAATCATTCGTTTCTGAAATACAGCACCAAAACCGCAGACATTACATTGTCAATCTAAAGTCTGCTGACATTTTAGGGCTGCAAAGCATTTAATGATCTGCTGAGAATAAGGAAGGTGAGCCACAAAATAATGCTTCCAACAAAACCAATCTTGGCACCAAAAGATGTAATATAGCATGCATATAAGCATACAGAAGTGAAAACCTCACTGTTCCCATAAAAAGTTAGCACTTTACCTTTGAACAGGAACAAAAATATCATTAATCTCACTGGAATCTCATGTGTCGTGAGTGTATAGAGAGTGCTATCGCTATTAATTTAGTGAATCAAATATCCAATTGATTCTTCTTAGCAAAACATTAGCATTCCTATTACTGTCAGCACCATTTTCACTGTGCAATTGTTTTACCTCTAAATACTTGCATTAGCTCAGCACAGAAGTAGTGATCTTCAAGTTCAGAAGTTGAGGAATCGTAGAGAAGGTCAGGCCTAAAATAGACTCTTATGTCACATGAAGAAGAATCAACTAAACCCTTGGTTTTATAGACTGACTTTTCAAATTCCAGGACAATGTGCTGTGGGAAGCACTAAAATTTGGCTCAGGTACCACAGAAGCTCAATGCAACAAGGACACTGCTACAATAAACATAGGAGCTAAAAACTGTAAAACCCTCTCAGCTGGTATCTTCATGGTACAGGATATTTTGAAGAATGACATGTAATTGTAATTGTATTGCAGTACATCAGAGTGCCACATGCTCAATGGGGAAAAAAAAACACTTTAACATGAACTTGGTGATGTCCAATTTCAACTGTTTTGAAGTGTAACTTTGTAAATGTTTATGAGTAACATATATAGATCAACTAAGCTACTGGAGAACACTGCAGTAGAGAGATTTGTTGACAATAAAGACAGAGAATTCATGACAAGAGAGTATTAGTTATTCCCATTCTAAACAAACACAGACTTAGTCATCAGAACATCAAATAGCTAAGTGGACCTCATTAGAAATGTAAAAGTAATCAATTGGATGTTTGTATTTCCCATGGGTATACAGTAATAGAGTAATTTATCATTGTAATCAAATAGACCCCGCTACCTCCCAAGCTGGCAATATTATCTGACCGAGTAAAACTTGCAATCTCCTACTTTTAATCCATTAGAGAATTATCTAGGCCAGGACTTGACTGACAACTGTTAGACAATTATCAATGCATAATGCTATGAATTAATTGGATGTAATGCCAGGAACTGCAGGGCAGGAGCAGAGATCCAGGTGATGCAAGTGTCTCTTAGGACACTGGGGCGCATACAAGCATTTTCATATCTGTCCAGAGTATCCTCGGAGTTTGATAACAACTGCAGATCAGTACCTGGTGTCTGTGGGAAAGTTCGCATCAGGACATTGAGATTTCACTTGTTAAACTGCAGTTGTCTAGTTCTCTCACACTGACATTAGGGGGCAGCAAAAAGGAGGACAAGGTCAGGAACTCCAAACGGCTCAGTACGAGACAGCAGGGGGAAGACGTGGTGCTGCAGTGGTGTAATGATTAATCTTTTTCTGCACTAATATGAGGTAATATCTTTGAAAATTTACATTAATGAATAGCAGTCTTTATGTGGAATGACATTGCTCTAGATTGTATTAATGAGGGTGTAACAGGCTCAGGGACATAATCAGATTTGTGTGTAAAACTTAGCTGAACTGCTTCACGATCCTAATTAGGTGATTTGGATTTTGCTGTCAATTGTTCATCAACCTTTCCTGACAACTTTGTCGATTACTTGTGCTCCAGTATGTCTACTTCTCTGGCTAAAGACAGATATTGGATCATACAGGACACCACAATAACCCTGAAGACCTATAAAGTGAAGAACTCGAAACAGCCCCCTCGGTGGTTCCTATATTGAAGTATTTGAAAGCCCTTTGTGCTTAGTTCTGATTCTTGGACAAAAGTTAACCACATTGTGTCTCTTCAGATTGTTGTACGTTGGGAAGTATGCTGGAGTTAACCAGCTTTGGTGAAGAGACATGAAGCTGGATTTGATGTGGCCCAGCGTGATTGTTTTCAGTGGGAGTGGGGACATGAAACAAGCTAAGGGCCCAGCCCACCAGCTTCACACTCAGCCCTGAGCTCAGCCTCATTATACAGTAAGTGAGTAGGAACAGAAATCAGCAGCCCTTCTGCTATACTTAAATAAATAATGAAGGGTCAATTGAACTACTTAACAAGCAAATTGAAATTGATAATATGCTGCCGAGAACAATGCAGTTGGCAGGGCAAGTGACTGGGAGCAGGTTTTTGGAAGTTCTAAAAGTGCACAAAGAAAAGGAGAGTACTGTTGCATGGGGAATCCATACTGCTGCTCATCATGTTACATCAGCTCTCTGCAAACACTTGCTGCAAAGTGAATTTGCTTTCACCATCCAGCATCCTCCTTCAGGGTTGTGTTACAGCAGTGGCCACAATGAGATCTTGCCACTGCAGGGTATTATGCAATGACCAGCCAATCAGTTAGCCAGAGGCTCAGTGGGTCAGACTTCCCCCCCATTGAGATTTGGAAGTCCCAGTTTCCCCCAGTTTGGCCTTGACAGTGTGTTATGGCTCTGGGTGGAGCTTCTTCACAGTCTGTCAGCTGGTTCAGAGAAAAAAGTCAGTCAAAAACCAAGAATGTGTGGAAATTGTTTATTGGTCATACTGACCTCCATTTTGAAGCCAGACCCAGTATATACCATTCACCAGTTTAACTGGATTTTCCTTTTAGACACTGACTTGCTCTCTAGAGAGGTCTGTAAAATTCATCCAGTGTATTTGATTCCGCAACAACCAGAATGTTAAAGTTCAAAAGCCTCCTGAGCATCATTCTTTCATATCCTCCATGAAAGCCAGGAATATTTCCAGAACCAAGGTAAGAAATTCATGATTGCTGAACTTTTGGATTGTTCCTTCCATTTGAGTTGTATATGATAAAAAGTTGAGATAAGCAAGAAGATCACTGATACTTCACAGTCAGCTAACACTGGATGTTTCAGTCGCAGAGTTGGTGCCAGTAAAATTAAGATGAAATAACACAATATCTGGCTTCAGTGTGGATATTCACAACTCACAGCATCCAAGCAATAACATTGGGTTTTTCTAGGCAAGCACTTCATTTGACACATACATGAGAGGGGTTGAGGACAGAAGTGTCACAGAATGATGGCATAAGGATGCAGCAACTCCTTTAACATCTTGGCTCCTTGCTTAGCAGACTGCTGACTGTCAAAACACTAGTAATAAACTTTGCAATGAGGTCTTTTTCTAGTATAGTGTTATGTGTGATTTGTCCTGACTTTCGTACTTTCCTCGTCCTTCACCACTTCTGATCCAGTGTGAGAAAAGTGAAAAGCATACACTAATATACTGTTTATATTCTTGCAGGCAGATTTATCACATATCACATCTATGCAATGTTCCTCCAATTCTCAAATTAAAAAAAAACAAATATTAAGAAATGTATTCAGGAATTAATTTAAAATCTCAGCATTCTATAATGCAGCACTTTATTCTATCAGAATGTCACCTTTAGTTGTACCTCTGGGCAGAACAAAGCTGTAGCAAAGTAATTAGTTAATACATGCTGTCTTAATCACAGAAAAAAGAGACTACCTCTTATTGCCTGTTGATGCTGCTGTACTGATAGCTACTTTCTGTCCGACTAAATCAAACTTGAATGCACTTTTAATGTTTTCACAAAGCAATGTTTTGCTTTTGACCAAGGCTGTTACTAAAAACAACACATGTCATTTGATGGATCAGCAAGTAGCAATTCGCTGGGGGAAGAAGGGATAAATTAACCAAGGCTTCTGCTCCTCCCCACTGTCCAGTGATCCTCAAGGAAAGTGTGTGACGATTGAGTGTGGTTAGAATTGTGCTCAACTATGGAAATTAACCCGACTGCAGCCACCCTGCCACCCATTCTGTTTTGGGATTGAATCTCCCACCCACACGTCATGGTCTGGACTTTTCGTTCTTCGGACTTTGGAGAAAACTGGAAATGGGGCAAGAAAGTACATAATTTCACAAATGATCACTCCATGCTGACAAAGGACCCCAGAACGTCCACTATGTGAATTTTTCCTCCTCTATTAGACTGTGACAGTCAGCCAAAGTACCATAGGGAACCAGCTGCCACTGGAATTATATACCCAACAAAGAACCCAGGCCTTCAGAGAATGTGGTGGAGGAGTGGATGAGAGACAAAAAGAGAGATGTAGGGAAGGAGAGATGGAGAGGGAGAGGGGGGAGCGGGAGAGAGAGAGAGAGAGAAACTAGCTGAGTTGCAAAGATTTATGGGCTATTGTAAAATAAAATTGGTTTGGCAAATTCAGTTGGAAAACCATATTAGTTACCATTTCAGAGAAATATGCTAATCCAAAGAGTTTACACAGTAATAATTTTTTTTCATTTTGCTCTACTTGTAACTTTCTAAATGCTCTCACAGTTAGGTATTGCACCAGCAGGTGATTTCAGAGATCTGCATCGTATTTAGAAGTGCTATTGTTTAATTGTTATAAAACCTCTCAATTATCTTATTCCCAATTATTTAAATAAAATAGTGGTCATTTATTTATTCCACAGAATATTTTTATGAGCAGGTGAGGAGAGGGAATTGGATCCTTTCTTAATAATGCTCTTTTAGTCAGTTGCAATAATTTTTTTTAGAGAACACACAGCTACCACATTTCAATTAAAACATAATTATCTATATCAAAATGAAAGAGTCAAATTATATGGTTTTCATGAGTGAAAGAAAGCATGATTTCATTGTCTACTTACCCCAAAAAAAACATACACAACACAGATAATAAGTTTATAAAGAAGTGAGAGAGGATGTTTAGTACAGACAGAAAGATAAAGGCTGTTGCAGTTTTAAGTTCTTGGATTTTAAACCTGAGGGCAGTTGTTTACTTGTTGACTTGTATTCTCACAACAATGGAGAAGCTTGTAGATCCTGAGTTCTTGGTGAATGGTTGCTGTCAAAAGTTTTTCACTGAACACTGGTTGAGGTAGACAGGGTGAGAGAGGCTTCCAGTCTCTGTTGTTTTGTTATCAATTCGTATTTCATTATCTCTCTGCATGCTGCTCAAAAGCCCTTACCCCGGATACAGTTCCCTTCTGGATTCTGATTCTGATACCATTACTTTTTCAAGATGGCAACTTGCATTCCAGTCAGTGGACTTTTCCCTCCCTGGTATGGAGTCAGTAATGGTGAGAAAAGCAGGAAAATCAAAAACAATTTCCTGATTTTCCCCTCAAGCTGTAAGTGGTGAATTTAGGATTCCACCATTGAGTGGTGGCTAACTGACTCCCATGTATTAAAACATCAATTCCAACCCAAACTGATTCCACTTCCAATTCTCCACTCTTTGTGTGAGAAACTAGGGTGTAGCAATTCCTGACATGAAAATCAGAGTCAGAATTTTACCAGAGAACAGCTAAGGGTCAGTTTTGGCAGGCCTTACGGAAGGTTTCAGTCCATTAAACCAAGCAAATTTTCTCATGCTGTGGTTCCTGACCTTTCCTCATCACCTACACACCACACTCCTATGGTAACCTACTAGTTGTATTCTTCCAATTGTGGTAGGTGAAAATCCTCACCACTGCTGGGACAAACTGGTATTCCTGGCATTGATGCCAAATTTGAAAAGACATGTGTATACCTGGTCAAGTGTTGTCATTCCAGACTTGCCTAGGATGGATTGATTCTTTTGTCCCAGACAAGGAGCAATTGGCACTCCACTTTATGGATATGGATCTGGAGGTGCTTGTGGATGGAAAGGTGTGGAGGACGGCTGTCCTCTTCCTGAAGGACCGACTGATGAGGGTCACGACACCGGAGCCTGCCCTGCCTCATCCAAGGTTGCCATCCAGGTCAAAGCAGTGTCCACAGTCTGGACAGATACCCAGCAGAGCAGGAAGACTGTCAATGACCTTCTCCTTTCCACCAGCAATCTTGCCAGTATGTGCCAGTGAGGGTCTATCATGACAGTCAGTCAAGAGGCTTATCCAATTCCAGCCTGGAGTTTTGGCCACAGTCAAATAAAAGAGAACGGCACTATGTGTGGACATAATGAGGCTTCATTATGTTAGATATGGGTGCTCAGGGGTTCCTTTAATAAAATTGCATTATTTTCCTGGCATTCCACATAGATTATCTACTCACAGACGTCGAAGAGAGAATCTTATCACTGGAGTCAATGTGGCCAGCTGCGAAGACTGTGTAGAAGGAAACAGTGATTATAACAATGTCACCAGGTCTAGCAAGAACAGAAACCTTCCATCGGCTCTGTGCAGCCTCCAGTGAAAGAAGCAAAAGGTGAACATTGGCTGAAGAGATGCTTTAGAATGATGAGACCCCACATCTGCATGCCTTGCTGTTAGTTTCTTCACATGTCTGAAGGACAGTGTAGTGATGTTCCACCCCATCATCTCTGAACTGTGTCATCTGCTAGAGCAGTACTCAGAAGGACTGTGTGATCATCCCATCCCACTGTCTATCAAGGTCACTCTAAGCTTAAATGCGAGAGGCTTA